GTTTTGGGTAATATTATTATATATAGGATGTGCTGTTAGGATATTTACGGTCACCATGTGCGTTAGTTTGATGATGTCCCCGGAGTGAGTTCATGAAGGATTGTTATGCTAAACCCTGCAGGTGGATTAAATTCCGGCATAATAAGAATGTGATGAACGAGCGCTAGCTTCGGTGAAATAATAATAAATTAATTAATTCTTGATTGTCAGTAATCGAATTAATTAATGGACATTATATCTTAAATGTGGGGAGGTAAATCGAGTAATTATTATTGGAGTCTCAAATGTAATTTGGGCTAGGGAAAGGGAGTGCAATAATATAATGTTGGTGGCCCATTAATATTATTTAATTAATTAGAAGAGTGGTTTTGGCCCACAGTTAGTCTAATTAATTAAGGAGCCCCTTTCCTAATCTCCTTAGGTCCCTACTGTAGCTCTATATATACATCATTAAGCTCATGAGAAAAGAAGAGAAGTCTCATTCACACGAGATACACGCCTCACACGCCTCTCTCTCTCTAGATCTCATTCGAGCTTTATCTTCTTCTTCTTGCTCCACTGGTACAAGTTGAAGAAGGGTGTATTGAGTAATACAGTAGAAGATCTGTAGGTAAAACGAGACGAAATATATTTTGACCTACAGAACTAACCGGAAGTCCGATTGAGACGTACAGTATACCCAGACGACCGTCTCGACGAGAGCTTTCCATCGTCGCCAACGCCGCCAGATTCCGACGCCGCACGCGTTCTCACGCGCCGCCGGAAAGAGCCTGACTGCAAAAATTTGTTTTGATCTGTTTGCATCTGTTTGATCCGATTTTGATCTGATCTTGTTCGTGCAACCCAAGACGTGATTTGCGGTCAATCAATTGCGGTCAACCGTTCGTGGTCAGCCAGATCTACATAAATTTTAAGCCGTAAGTTCTCTACGTCAAACCTTTAGATCCGCTGCGCATAGGTTTACGTTTGCTATTGAATTCGTGATTTGTACATAACGAGATCCTCACAGATCCAAACACTTGCCGCGTGTGAGCCCTCTCGCGCCACGCGCGCGCCCTTCTTTCGCGCGTGCCCCAGCCAGCGAATGCCCCGCACACCTGCCTGGTTAGTGCCGCCCTCACGCTCGCCCTTTACCTCGAGCGCGTGCCTGCCACATATGCGCGTGCTGCGCCTGCTCGCCTTGTCGACCTCGTCGACCCATTCCTCTACCGCTCCTCGCCATTTCGCGCTTGTTCCCGCTCGCGCACCTACTTCATCGCTGCCGTCCCACGTGCATGCTAGCCACCCTACATCCTCCCCTCGTGCACCTTTTACTTTAGCCGTTATGCGTTGCTTGCGCCGATCTCTCGCGCATGCTCTACACCATTCGCCGACTTTCCCCGGAACGATCTTCTCGCTCTCATCGTCGGCCCAAGTCTACTGTTCGTAGCCTCTTTGAGCCCTCTTAGCGCGGTCTCGGTGGTTGTCCCGGGCTCTCGCACGCTTCTTCCCAAGGCTCAAGCGCGACTCGTCCTCGGGCTCGGATGGGTCGATGACCACATCCTCATCACTGCGGTGCCTCGCGTGCGCTAGACGCGGGCACGGACAGAGGTGCAGCCTGGCCTCTGCGACGCGGCACGGCCATGGCACGCGCTGCATGCGCGGCTGGTGACCTTAGCCGGTCCTTGCCGGACTTCCGGCCACTTTTTCCGGTGACTACCGAACCAACCCAACGTAATATGACATAATAAACATAAAAATGCCATAAGTCACTGAGAGACCTCGGTTGGATAAAGAGGTAGGCTTGTAGGGCCGATAAGGCTCGTGGCCACACTAGGTCACCGAAATGAACATGGTAAACATATGAATTCACTTATGGCCGAATATAATACATCAAAAATCATGACTATGGAGGCTAGAACATTGGTCATAACATGCATGCACATAGACTTGGGTTCGGAGGTGGAAATAGCTCGATTTCACTAACAACTTGACCGAACATATGAACTCAAAGCATGTTAATCTCTTACCAATGTAATTCTCATGATTTTTAAGGAATTTTAAGCTACTAAACTCGGCCATCTCATGCATGTACAACAATTTCCGAATTTAGGGCTCGAAACTTCAAAAATTCGCATCTCTATATTTAATACGTGCATGGCATCATATTCTTACATGATAATTCCTATTTTATCATGAATAAGCTGGGAAAATGGTTGGCATGAGCTTACCTTGCTCAAAATTCGAAATGGTGCTAATGGCCTCAACTCGGGCTATACTCGCGGCTTTGGGTGCTAGGCTCGACTTCGAAGGCTAAAAGGATGAAATGATGGACTCTGGAGACTTATAAAAATCCAACAAACACTTGGATAATTATAAGGCTCGAGAGAATGTTGCTGGAACAAGCCAAAGTGCGAACCTCCTCCTCCACGGGTGCACGCGCGTGACTAAGGGCCAGGCACTTTGCTTTCGGTTTCTTGCCATAACTCTCGAAATGCTTAAGTGTTTATAAGGTGTCCAAGAGCGCTGGGAAGGAACTGAGGATGTCCCTTATATGGAGAGTGAGGGCGGAGCAACCAAAGTCTTCAAGTGGGGGACAAAGTCCACACACCCACGCATGGGACCTTGGCGCGGCATAGTGGAGTCTTGGGCAGGCTTTGCACGGAATTTTGGAGCATAAAGAAGAGTACCTTGAGGGCTGACCAGGTCTGGTACAATGGCCAAGGTAGTGGCAGCACTAAGGGACAAGGCTAAGCATTAAACAATGCTCATGCACATGCCCACTACCATTAAAATAATGCTAATGACTCTTGACTTACATAATCCAGCTTAGGGCATTCTTAGGCTTAATTAGTCCCTATTTAACCCCTGATTATTCGCATAATATAGGGCCATAGGACTTGGGCCAAGAATTCCATGCATTGGGCCAAGAAGCACTCGCACGTTGGGCTGGGCACGAGGTCTAGGCGCGCGGCCTGCTGGGTGCGGAGCCCTTGCGCACGGGCTGAAAATAATGCCAACCTTTGGGCCGAGGATAGCATACCTCAAGGGCTGCATTATGGCTGACTTGAGGGCCGAAAGTACTTAGAAATATTTCCATGTATTTCATGGACTTAGGCACGGCATTGATATGGGTGAGCGCGCGGACTAAGCGCGGCCCTCGGCTTGGGCTCTCGCATTATTTGGACCGAGACCAACTCTTGGCCATTGCTGGACTTAAATGCCACTAAAACACTTAGGAAAAATATCCATAATTGCTCGACCATGACTTGGGCACTCGCACTCGGTGGGGCGCGGCACTTGGGCGCGATGGACACGAACCATGCACGAGCTTGGTGCGGGGTTCCTCTCGACCGAGTGACTTGATCTAGGGCTCGATAATAATCGACCCATACTTAGAAAAATTCCAAGTAAGGCTTACAAGCAACTAGGGCTTGAACAAGACTCGGGGCGGCTAGGGCTCGAGACTTGACTAGGCGCGAACTAGGCGCGATACTTGTGACCGAACGACTCGGTTCCCGACACGGCTTGACTTGGACGATTTACCGAAACATACTCAGTTCCGATTATTCGTCAACTTGAATAATTAATTCCGACTGAATAAAAAAAAATTCATTGCTAAAAACAAATGGACCGGAATTAATAACTGGAATTAAATAGTTGAACTGAGCTCGGAACTCAAGACGAGAAATATTAATAAAAGAAAAAATAGTTCAAACTTGGAATTAAAACTGTCACTTTTATTAATATTAGAACTGGGCTATTACAAAAATAATAAATAACTTTGTTTTTATTATTTATGTTAAAATCGATGTACATACACATAATTTATCTGAGAAAATTTAGTGCACTGTATATAGAGGAAGTTCGCACTTTATAAAATAACATGTTGCACTTTATAAAATAATACATTGCACTTTATACAGAGAGCGAATTATATGAAAATTGTGAAACTAAACATGCCGAATTATATGAAAAAATATTACAATTTTTTTACAATATAAATAAAAATTTGTTTTGATTATTTACGGTAATCGAATTAACAATATAATGTATAAATTGGTGCACTTTATTGTGTGGATGTATAAATTGGTGCGCTTTATCTAGGAATGTTGCACTTTATAAAACAACACGTTGCACTTTGTCACCACATTCCACAACTAATATCAACAACTCCCCCCAAAATATTACACAATATAAATCTAATAAACGGATCAACATAATAATTTAATATCCATCATATCATTTGTCCACAAAAAAAAAGCACATATATGCTAACGTACTTCAGTATTGCACTTTATATATCGATAGGTTGCACTTTACACAACAATATGTTGCACTTTTTAACATATCATGTTGCACCTTATAAAACAACAACAAGATGTCATACCAAAAAATATAGTAATTATGATAATCGATTGAATAATAATAGTTGGTTAAATGTCGGATTTAGTTTTTTAAAATATACAGAATAACTGAACATGTCGAACTATATGAAAAATACTATTGATTATATATATATATAAATATATATATATATATATATATTATTCAAAAAACAACACTATTTTTTATCTATATTTTTTATGTGTTGCGATTGCACATTATGACTATACGTATTGCACATAACTATCTACCGGATTGCACACAATCGACCGAGATCCAACCAACAGAAAATAAATAAAAAGAAAAATTAACATATTAATTAAATTTGTAAATTACAAATTGCACCCATGACCTAAATTGAAATATGCTAAAAATACTGAAATTGTAAATATGCCCCTAAATGTCATTTAATTTTCAAACACAATCCCCCAAATCAAACACCTCATGTCACCATCTCCAATCGCCGGTCAAATTCACGGCGCCGGTGTCGGCGTCGCCATGGGCCTCAGCTTGTATACCCGCCGCCGCGTCAGAGCGACGGGGCCCGCTCCCGACTCTGCTATCATCTCCTTCGTCGGCAGATGATGACGGCGCCCGCTGGAGGTGGATGAGCAACGCGGCTCAATTTTCGGCAGATGAAGACGGCGGCGGCTTATGAGGCGACTTTGGAAGGCGGCACCGGCCGGTTACTCGATGGCGGCGGCAGGAGGTGCGTGGTTGCTGTGCGGCAGCGAAAAACTCCATGTTCGACGGTGGAAGGGTGGAGCTCCCGTTGGCCTTTTTCTACGGTGGAGATGAGTTCTCCAGTGGTGGCCGTTGTCGGTGATGTTGATGTGGCCGTCGATGGGATGACGCCGGTGACTGTGTGAGGTGCACGGAGGAGAGTATTTTTGTTGCAGGTGAGAGTGCGTGTGTGAGTGGTGTGTGTGTGTGAGAGAGAGAGAGAGAGAGAGACGGGTGGGAGGTGGAGTTGGGTTACTATGTGTGGGGCGGACTTAATTAGTGGTGGCATTGAATATCAAAGAAAAATACATATTTACAATTTTGCCACACAGGTTTGACCATTGTTATTTACTTTTGACTTTATCATGTCCACTGATCGTACCGATTCAATGGTCTATAATCATTTTTATTTCTTTCACTATCTACCATTTTCATATGATCCATTTCCTATATATTAATATATGTTATTATATATAATATATGTTATATTAAAATTAGATATTAGAATCAAATTCATAGAAATTCATATTTCATTCTGCAAGGCCAGCGACTCAGATCTCAAAAAACATACAACTCGCACGCACCTAACCCTAGCCTCCACACACTACAAGACCGGCGACTCAGCCTCTCCCCACCGATTCTTCGACCTCCGCCGATGCCTCCACCTCTAACCTCCACGTCCGGTCTCCGGCGGCCTCCGCCTCCAGCCTCCTCCGCGGGCCTCCACCTTCGAATCTTACATACGCTCTTTGATATACGCTCTTCGGATCTTGCTATGGGTTAACACCAATGGGATCCGCGGCTCTTGCGTTCTGGTTTCTTAAATCGTACAACAGTTTTATCTTTTATGATATAGAATGGGCCTTGGCCCAATCCAACCCAACATTAGCTTATCGGGCTGAGACTGCAGCTCAACTAAANAAAAGTGGGCTGGCCCACGGAGCCCGCGACCCGTGGCGGGGGCGGGTAGCCCGCCCTGCCCCGCCAAAAGGCGAGCTTTGGCGTGCTACGGGTCGGACCGCCCCATCGGCCCATTTTGACAGCTCTAGACCTGGCCTGCTTATCCTATGGGACGGACCTGGCCCGACCCATTAGTAACGGGGCAAATTTTTCCTGCCCCAGATGCTCCGGGTCAGGGCGGGTTGGACCGGGTCCAGGTCCCTTTCTTATCCCTAGTTTCAATCATACAAACTACTAATAAGTATTCTGAATTGAATTAATCCATTATTTTTTTTAATCGGTAAATGTAAATATATAAATCAAAACTGGGTTCAGATTACCGGAATACGGCATATAAAAGCGTGATGGGCAACCGCAAGTCGGTTCCTCATTCGCTAGAAAAAGATATACGAGGCCAACCACAGGTGGGTTGACTCACTCAAAAGTCGAAGCGGTGCTAGACAATGATATGAACGAGAGTTGCGTTCTTAAGTATGCTTACAATCGGGCCAATGGAGGCACCAAAAATGATTCTCAAAGCCCAAGACTCCTCTCAAATTCAACAAGCACATTCGGATAAGTTGCAAAAATAGTTCGATAAACATGGGTTTTTACCTTGCGGATTACAAGACTCGGCCCTTGGTATTCATTCTCAAACATCAACTGGTTCCTATCATTCCAAATGAAGTACACGGTAGCCGCTAGCGCCGCTTTCTTCAACTTGGTTTGCCAACCACTCCCTTCCGCCTCCTTCTTGACCCATTTGAGAGCTCCTTTGAGTGTGGACGGCCTATGCCGGAGGCTAACCCAAGTACGAATCTCCCCCTAAATCTCCAAGCTAAAGGTACATTCAAAGAATAAGTGGCTCAAAGATTCATTCGCAACTCCGCAAAGAGGGCATATCGGATCTTCCTCAAGGAAATCGAGTCGATCTCTTATCCGGAGCCAATTACGCACCCCAACCAAAGGATGAAGGAGTGCTTGAGGGTATTACACGGGCCCCAAGCAACCCCATTCCATGGCACCTTAGATCCTCTAGGTCTTAGAAAGTCGTAGCACTTGTTAGACCCATCGTGACCTTCTAGACATTTCCACCCTTGACGAAGGGCTTTCGCACCACGCTCACTTCCCGCCTTTTCCACCAAGACTTGTCGGATCTCAAAGAGGATTTTGAAGAGAGGTGCGTCATTCGTTCTAACTTCCCAATCCCAAATGGATTTCCCTTCAAATAAATATTGTGAATCCATTTATGTCACATGGTGTCCTTCTTTGCTTGCATGTTCCAAAGTGTCTGGGTGAGCAACGCTTGGTTCCATGCATTTAAATCCCTAAGCCCCAAACCACCTTCCAAGCGAGGTAAACATAAGCTTTCCCAAGCCACGGTAGCGCTCTTCGATCCCCAAAGAAACCTTCTATATAGTTGAGTGATTTTTGTTTTAACTATGTCAGGAAAGTGGAAGATACCCATCCAAAAGTACATAATGCCTTGGATCACCGAGCGAAGGAGTTCTAATTTTCCGACATAGGAAAGAGTATGCCCATTCCACCCACTAAGTTGTCTTTAGATTCGGTTCGCGGAGAGGGAAACGCCGAGATATTGAAAGGGCATTGAGCTGCACCCCGAGTTGGTATTGTCGAGAATTGTAGGCCGACTATCATCCTTGACCCCGACCAAGTAGATATTAGACTTTAGCACATTCATCTCAAGCCCCGACTTAGCTCCAAAATCCTTAAGACAATCCATGAGAATTTGAATTGACGGAGGGTCTCCACGAGAGAGAAGCATGAGGTCCTCGGCAAAGGCAAGGTGAGAGATTTTTAATTGCTCGCACATCGGATGGTAGTTGAAGTTTGTTCCAACCGCCGTGTTGCTCTTAATAAGCTGAGTAAGGTACTCCATACAAATCACAAAAAGGAAAGGTGATAGGGGGTCACCTTGCCTTAGACCTCGAGCTCCTTTGAAGTGGCCCTTGAGGCTCCCATGATAGATAAGGAGTAGGACGAAGTGGTGACGCACTCTATGACCCACCTCGTGAAGGCTGAAGGGAAGTCGAGACCATCGAGCACTTGCTTAAAAAACGACCAAGAAATGGAGTCGAACGCTTTGCGGAGGTCGATTTTGATGATACACCTTGGGGAGTCGAATTAATCCATTATTAATGTAGCGCCCCATTTGTTCCATAATTATTTGGAGATTATTATTGTTATTTATCTTATTTTATCTTATTTTTTGAAATTATTTTATTCGAGCTCGATAATAATATTTCGATTAAATGCTCATAATTGCTAATTGTATTAAATTAAAAACCGAGCCGTATTATGCTAGCAATTTTTATTTTCAGTCGAACCGAGAAATCGTTAATAACCCGGACTTCAAACTGAACGAGCAACCAATGCCGAACCCTCGATCCGAGCCACCGAACCACCCGCTCAATTCCACGCCCGTGGCTCGCAGCCCGCAAACGAGAGGCCCGGCCCGGCCGCGTCGCCCCCCTTCCCTCTCTCTTGTATGCATGGCTTCTCAATTTGAATTTTTATTCAAATGAGGATTCTTATCCCTCATTTTCAGCCTTGACCAGATTTTATGAGATTAATTACCTACCATTATGCTAATAAGTAACCCCTCCCCTCATTTCTCTTTTCCTCATTCACGTCCCCTCATCTCTCCCTCTATCTCTCTCGCTAGTCTCTCTCTCCCTCGCCTTCAAGCTCTCAGCACCCTCCCCTCACTCTCTTCTCCCCACACCTCGTCGAAAAGAGCTCCTTAGCCACGCTTTGTCGCCGGCAACCGTCGACCCGCCTTCGCTCCTCCGCGCGCGCAGACGGCAAACCCACCAACTGCGAGCCGCCACCTCCGTCCTCCTCGTCGCGTCTGCAAATTCTGGCCACCGTCCTACTCGCCGACCAGCTCTCTACCATCTCTGGTCACCATCCCTCACGTGCGAGTCGCCTTCGACGCCGAGCACGCGGACGATTTCCCCGCCCTTAGGACTCGATCGTCAACGAGCCTTCCCGTAGAATCGAGCCTCGTTCGTTTTTCTCCCCATTGGTGTTTGGTAAAATTTTTACTAAACTCTAAGAATTCTATGAGTTTATATGCTAAATGGCTGGGATTAAATAATAGCATGATTTGTTTGAATGAATATGAAGTGAATTGTTATTTTATGTAGAGTGTTATAGTAGATCTATAGGGTTTAATTCGAAACCCTTATGATCTGAGACTATCTCGTGGAAATCTTTTAGAATATAGAACATCTTTGTGTCCTGATGACAATGGTCTTGACTTTGTTCAATTTGGAGTTATATTTTTCAAGTTATGAATTGTTGAAGTTGATGTAATTGCTGCAACTTGTAAAATTCGTGATAAATTGTGTTGTCGCCCAAAAATCATGAAATTTGGATATGTTGCTCCACTGATGTGTTTGTACCTTGTGATAATTCATGATAAATTTTGATAAATTGTGCACGCTGCTGTTGTTGTTGTTGATGTTGGGGATGTGGCGGCCTCCGCGGTTCGGGACAGGCACGAGAGAAGTGGCGTTTCCTTTGGCAATTGTAGCAAGTCATGTCGACAGCTCGACACCTGTTGGCTTCGTGAGCTAATCCGCATGCTCTACATGGCTGCGATCCCACTGGAAGCTGACAGATGGGTTGGATGTACTGAGCCACGGGCTACTGCTGCTGAGGGTGGCGTGGGCCGTGGTTAGGGCGCTTGCCTTTCTTTCGGTTCTGATGATTGTTCTTCCTCTTGCCGGAACTAGAGGATGGGGGAGCTGTGGCATACGGAACGGAGTACAGATAAGGCACCTGGGCAATGAGCGGCGGGGAGTAGGCTGGCGGTGCAGTCTGAACAGGCTACGGAGCATGATAATAGCAGGGAATAGGAGCTATCGGGATGAGAAGGCTCTCCACTCCCTAAGCCCGAGTAACAGTGTCGGTAAAGGACATCGGACCGTGACTCCCGATCAGTTCCCGCATCTTCTGATTCAGCCCCTTCAGAAATTTGGGGGCCTTCTTCTCATCCGTGTTCACAGTGCCACCAACAAAGAGGTACATTCGGGTGAATGTGCGGATATACTCGTTTACGCTGGTGTTGCCCTGCTGCAAGTGGTAAAAGTCGTGCTCCATCCGATCCCAGAAACTCTGAGGAAGAAACTTGCTTCAGACCATCGCCTTCATTTGTTCCCAAGTGAGAGCGTTGAGCTCAGCCTCTGGCCTTCGAGCCCAGTGGTCGGTCCACCAGTCAGAAGCATTCGCCTTCATCTGGAAAGCGGCGAGAGAAACACGCTGTCTGTCGTGGAGGGGAAGCACAGCGAAAATCTTGTCTAATTCTTTCATCCACTCCAGCACCGCAGTGGGGGTCTCATTCCCCGAGAAGGTGGGTGCGTGCATGCCCTGAAACTGGACTATGAGCCTCGAAAAGTCCATGACAGGAGGGGCCTGCTGATGACGAGGGGATGGAGGCGGAGAAGGTGATAAGGATGGCTGACGATTGCGAGTGTTGCGGGTGTTACGATATGCCATAGTTCTACATTGAACAGGCCGAAAAGAGTTTAGCATAAAGTAAAATTTAAATAATACAGGAAGTCTAGAGTTCGCCATGAAACATTAGAGTTCAAATTTAAATCAAAGGTGGATAAATTTCCTAAGCCCCATGTAAGATAAATAAAACAATAAAACTCATACCTCGAGTTGGCCCGGCGAGACGAAAGCGAGTGGTCGAATGGTCATTAACTAAACTAACACTAGAGATAGTCTACAGAAACGCAGACTAGCTCTGATACCATACTTTAACGCCCTGTTTTATTTTAAAGAATTTACCAAGTTTATTTATAAAAATCAGAG